GATCACCACCCTGTCCAAACCTGAGCGCTGCAACCGCACGGTGGAGAACTCAGACTTCGTGCGGTACCACTACAACGGCACATTGCTGGACGGGACCCCCTTCGACTCCAGGTACAGGGCACTGGGGTGCACCCTCACCTCAGGACATGGGCAATGGAGCTGGGATGCACCTCTGCCTTGAGTCTGGGGCACAGGGGACAGCTGGGACCCGAGGACAGCAGCCTGGTGCAGGACATGCTGTACCCAGTCAGAGCAGCCTCCCCCTGTGCTCCCTCCCCACTCCCCGGCAGGGCTGGTGCAGCTCAGCTCCATCACCTCCAAACCAGCCTGTCACAGCACCAATCCAGCCAGGGGTGCTGGTGTGGCCCCAGAGCCATCCTCTTCCTCATTCCCCTCCACCAGCTACAGCAAGGGCAGCACCTACGACACCTACGTGGGCACCGGGTGGCTGATCAAGGGCATGGACCAGGGGCTGCTGGGCATGTGCGCCGGGGAGAAGAGGAGCATCATCATCCCCCCATTCCTGGCCTACGGGGAAAAGGGCTATGGTGAGCCAGGCACCACCCCATCCTGCCCCTTCCCTCCCAGCTCTGCACGCTCCCCCATGGTGCAGCAGGACCCTCATCCAGGCTGACCTGAGTCCCCTCCCCAGGGACTGTGATCCCACCACAGGCATCACTGGTGTTCAGCGTGCTCCTCGTGGACTTCCACAATCCCAAGGATGGTGTCTTCCTGGAGCACCTGGAGGTGCCAGAGTCCTGCAAACGTCGGGCTGTGACTGGGGACTTTGTCCGCTACCACTACAACGGGACACTGATGGATGGGACTCTCTTCGACTCCAGGTATGGGGGAAACAGCCACGTGGGGAGAGCCCCTGATGTCCTCTCCTGCCTCAGGGCTGCAAGGAGAGGGTGGAGAATCGGAGGGGAGGGTGGTAACAGGCACGAAATAGTCTGAAAAGGGCAATACTTGTTTGCCACATCCCTAGGAGCACCGTTTGGCTGGGACAAGGGGTGTGGGTTGGGGGGATTGATGGTGCCAAGGGCTTCTCTTGCTGCAGCTACTCCCGCAATGAGACCTACAACACCTACATCGGAAAGGGCTACATCATCCCCGGCATGGACCAGGGCCTGCAGGGTGTATGCGTGGGGGAGCAGCGGCGCGTGGTGGTGCCCCCACACCTGGCCTACGGCGAGAACGGCGCAGGTAAACGCGCAGAGCCCCAGCTCCGAGGGACGGGCACGGAATGGGGAGTGAGAAGGACAGGGAAAGGCTTTATGGGCCTGCAGCGCTCCAGTGGCTCTCTCTCCCCTCATCCTCTTCTTCCAGGGGAGAAAATTCCCGGCTCGGCCGTGCTCGTCTTTGACGTCCACATCATCGACTTCCACAACCCCGAGGACCCGGTGGAGATCGAGACGGTGTTCCGGCCCGAGGGCTGCAACGTCACCACGCGCGACCGTGACTTCGTCCGCTACCACTACAACTGCTCCTTGCTGGATGGCACACGGCTCTTCTCCTCGTGCGTGCTCCGGGCACACCTGGCTCCTCGGGCCAAATCCTGCCCAGTGCTGAGCTGGGGCTGGGAGGGCACTGGGCAGTGCAATGGCAGCGCTGGAGCATCAGCCACAGGGACATGGGGCAGAGGGATGGGGCAGCAGGGAGGAAGGTGCAAGGTCTGGGGATGGACTGTGGGGGTGAGATGGAGGGTCTGGAACTGCATGGTATGTCAGGAAGGAGGATGTGGGGTTCTGGGGCATAGCAGGATGGAAGGATTGGGATTTGGGGCTGCCCTCTGGATCCAAGGGGTTTTCTCACCTGCATTGTCTTCTTTGTGCCTCCTGCAGCCACGACTACGAAAAGCCCCAGGAGGTGACTCTGGGGGCCAACAAGGTGATCGAGGGGCTGAACAGTGGCCTCCTGGACATGTGTGTGGGGGAGAGGAGGGTACTCATCATTCCC